CAATTGAGTAAACAGTAGTAAAAAGTTAGGAAAAGTAAAAAAACAAAAAACAAAAAACAAACAAACAAACAAACAAACAAACAACAACCACCAACCCCTCCCCAAGCACCATTTTTGCAGCTTGTTAAAGCATCCCGGAGTGCTTCAGCAAATGCATGTTTGCCTTAACGTATTTAGGTGCCATTGAAAAAAACATCACAATACCATAGCTGCCCTAGGCAACACAAAAATCATCCACCTTCCACCTAGACCCCCACCGAGAGAACCTGACACCGACCAAAACCCTGCCCCCCCTGAAAAATGCCACCCTAGGCAAATGCCTTGTTTGCCTCGCAATAAATAAGCCCCTGATTGCACCTATGCATTTTAGGCAAGTACAAAAGGTTATTATTGTAAATGCATCTGGTCTAGCCTGTGCAATGCCTTGATATTTAATATAGGTACTTATATAGCGCCATAAATTTATGCAGCGCTTTATATGTGTGTAATAAATATATATTTATTACATTCACACATGCACTTTCCAGTTTTTGATGCATCAATCCCCTTTATGGGCCTACTGAGGATAAAGGTCATAAAAATGCATGATTGCCAATAATGAAAATAACGCATGAAAACGCATACAGAAAGGTGTGAATCCTGCCTCAATAGAGTCAAGAACAGGTAGCAAGAAATTCACCATTTTGGATACAAATACTCAGATGACAGTTAAAAATGGGAGATAGAGTAGAAAATTATTTTCAAGCTTGCTGGAAAATTTCTCTGCAAACCAATATCTGGCAAATTTTATCAGGAAAAAGATTACAGTACAAGTCTGAATGTTATGTGGTGTTCTGGTCTTTGGCGCAACTACAATCATTTCATCAGCTCATACCAGGTTCAGTCCAGAGGCACTCCTGTAATGCCAGAAATCCAGTGACTTTGTAACTTTCTCTGCACTAAAGCGATATCAAATAATGCTTTCCGCGTTCCTGGCCATCTTTAATGAACTACAAAACACCTTCCACCTTTGTTATGGAGAGGCATTTGAAATCCTAATTAGCACAGCAGCCTATGGCAACAGCTCTGCTCCTCCATAGATATTGTGCAATGAGTGTTGTCACCCTAGGACAGGAAGTGACACAGGCAGGATCTCTAGGTGAAAATACAGTGCGAAAAAAACAAAAAAAGGGAAAGGAAAAAGGAAAAACTAATACCGCCACTTCAAAGAACTGGTAAGCTGTGGCTTTTGTCTTTTTTTGGTAGTAGCATTAAAGTAGAACTCCAGGCTAAAATTAATCTAGTCATGTGGTCTAGTCATGTGATCAGCTCTTCTCTCTCAGCTAGTAGCTGCTTCAGGGATGAGGAGCTACAGCAGACAACGGATGTCCCATAGTAAGCCTATGGGTGATGTCCCCGCTTAGGCATTCAAGCCATTGTCAGCACTTCTTTTTCCCCTGTAGCCGCAGCTCTCTGACACACGGGAGATCACATGACTGGACTGGCCTGAGAATAGGCATGTTTATGCTCCTTCCTTCTACAGGGTAGTTCATATGGTAGCTTTTAACCAATTCCAAAAGATGGCTACAGTGAAGTCGGCTAGTTCTGGGAGGGCGTCCATGGATGTCCTCCCATACACAACGCCCCTAGGGTGCGCATTGTGCACGATCTGTGATCGTTGTGTCCTTCTGACACAGCTGATCACGTGTTCAAGGGCCAATCAGAGCCGCTTTTTAGTCTAGGTTCACACCTATGCAGGTTGTGTTTGATGAGTTTCTGCATTGCGTTTTTGCACTTGCATTTTTTTTTTTTTTTAATTTTTCTTGTTACTAGGCAGATTTTAAATGCAAAACGCAGCAAAAAATAAAAAACCCCAGTGTTGATTAAATACCACCAAAAGAACGCTCTGGATTCAGTTTATGGTTGTCAGATCATTTATCCTAGGTTCACATTGTGCGGCGAGAGACACCACATGTGATTCAGACAGGCATCGCACCGATTCCTACTCAAATCACATATAATTCTTTGCAGTGCAATATGAGCCTATTCATTTTGTATGGGCTCAAATCACACAGCACCCTCACAGAAATGGTGCAGACATTTTTTTGCCGCACTGGAATCAGATCCTATGGGTGTGACCACCCATGCGATAAAATTCAGGAAAACTGTGTTTTGTAACCTGTTTTGGGGTGTTGTTTAACATTGACACCCCCAGCAGATAACATGAATGTGGTGCAATTTCAATGCGGTGCGGGAAATGCACAGGATTCGCTGCGTTTCCCACACTGCATATATGTGAACAGAGGCTTAAAGCGGGAGTTCCACTCTTGCTGTCAAAAAATAAAAGTCAGCAGCCACAAAAACTGTAGCTGCGGACTTTAGAAAAAACAAACAAATAAAAAAAAAAAAAACACATACACTCATCTGTCCCTCAGTGTGTCCACTGCAGCCCGATTTACCGGCTGTCTTCTCTCCCTCTTCAGTGTGGGCACCCGGCTGTGAAAGCTTGTGGCTTCACAACCAGGTGCCCACTGCGCATGCACGAGTAGCGCTGAGCTTCATGAAGACTTCTGGGACCTGTCACATTTCCCAAAAGACTACGGGGAGGGAGGGGGGGAGGACACCTTCCAATTCTGATCTCCTAGGCGATTGGAGTGGAAGCAGGTACCTGTCAAATTTGAGTACCCACTCCCCCCCGCCCCCCAAAGGTGCCAATCCTTAATGGGGAGCAGGGGACCAGTCTTTAAAGTGGAACTTCCCCTTTTGGGTGGAGCTCCGCTTTAAGCGGAATACAGATCTGGCCAAAAAAAAAAAAAAAATGGTCAAATCGACAGGAACCAGCCAACTTTCAGTCCATGCGCACAGCTCCTCATCCAGCAGAAGCTGGTCTCACATTGTCAGGAAACAATAGCTCAGCAGGGAGATCCGAAGTTAGTGTGGTGATTTGTACGTTTTTTTTCCCCATCAGCTTGCTGGGTTGAAAGAAAATTTCCTGTGTGTACCCTGCATTCAGACTTTGAATGTTGCCATCCAATTTAAGAAATATACATGCTGCTATTCCATTTCATTGGCACTCACAGGAACACACTAGCGTAAGGATCCATAAATAAATAAATAAAAAAAAAAATTGCATTTGGTTAAAATAAAAAGCTTTATACTTGCGCTACAGTTTTGTCAATTGAGCCGAAAGAAGCCCATACATGTGAAGAGGGAAATCACGTGAAACTGGCATCGTTGGTTTGAATCTCAACCACATCACTAAGTGTCTGGAGTTTGCATGTTCTCCCTGTGCCTGCATGGGTTTCCTCCGACACTCCAAACACATGCTGGTAGGTTAAATGGCTCCTGTCTAAATTGCCCCTAGTATATGTATGAATGGGAGTTAGAGACCTTAGATTATAATCGCCTTGAGGGTTAGGGACTGATGTGAATGTACAATATAATTTATATATTACACATGCACACACTATATGTGTGTGCATGAGTAATACATTGTCAGTGCTATTTAAATACTAATAATAAAAAATAATAATAAAAGTTCCTCCAGCCACGTTATACAGCATGGATGGATGAATCTGCAGTGCCAGCTATTGTACCTGTGGCTGTCAAAAAACCCAAACAGTGACTGCAGCTGATAGGAGGCGGATGCTGTTGGTCTGACAAAATCCTGCCAGCCTCACCTAAGTCAATTGAAGTGCAATAGACTTATCAAGCTGGGCGGTGCAGACAGGGCCATCCATGGCAAAAAAAAAATTTCAGTCAATTCAGTAGGAATCGTCAGAAATTCAATCAATGTATGGCCATCGAAAAGTGATATTAAAGCATAATTATTTTTATTCCAATGTAAAAATAAATAAATGTAATATGTGCCTGCCCTGCAATGATATTGCACAGATTGATCCCTTTCCTCCTCTTTCAGTCCCCTGGTGGCGCGGTCTACTCCCCCTCCTCTAAGTGCCCCCATCATGCATATCAAATGAGATCCCTCAACAATGCAGCTTAACACGAATCATTGCAACCAGCTTTTCTGAGCAAGTTTGGTGGGAAGCAACCCTACAACATGGATTTCCAATTGTTTGCTATAGGTTAGTGCCCTTTGTACAGAATCACAGCATTCTTCCATGGTCTGTTGACTAGAGAAGGGGTTTCAATGTATTGAAAAGTATTGTTCTACATTTACACAACCAAAGAGCAGAGGTCAGGTAGGGTTGCCATATATATTAATGAAACAGGTTCTGTGGCTGATTAAGGTGGTAATTAAACTCGCTTGATGCCTTATCTGCAATAAATTAGCTGCAGAACCGGTGTCATTAATGTGTTTGGTTGTAAAGGGAGGAGATGTTGGTAACCCTAGGTCAGGGGCGGCCTCCAGCAAGAATCAGAATCTTGCGACTGGCAGTAGCTGTCAGATTTGTATTCTGTATAGATCAATGGCCGGTTCTACTCCTGTTCACATCTTCGATCATCAGAGAGGTTACATGTGAATGGAGCTTCTGGCCAACCCTGGCCACAGAGTGTTAGAGTTTTCTGCAGCATTCTAAAAAAAATAAACTATCTGCAGCTTGTCAGTTTGTATGCGGCCATTGCAAAGTGTTGCTGCCTCTGGCCACAACAAACTATCCAGACATGCAACCCTTTGAATGTAACCAAAGTATCAGGTTTGATAAATCGACAAGATGCAGAATGCTTGCATGATGATTACTGCAAATTTATACAACTACAGAATGAGATGGTTCCCCCCGGAGAAGATTACAAAACTTCTAACTCAGCAACCAGCCTTCACTAGAGTGTCAAACAAAGCAGAGTACACAGATCTCGGTCTGAATAATTAACCCTAGCGCAGACCTTGAACCCAGAGCCTGACATTCATGTGCAGATCATCTCTCCTGTGCTGCAGAGCATTGACACCACACAGCCCAGGGCAGCTGAGTCTGCAGGATGAGATGCTCAGTCAGCAGCTGATGGATCAGTCTGGACTCCATGGGGAGTGATGGATGGGGGCATCATGCCAGTCTCCTCACCTGGTATCCAGAGGGCTTCCCGGGACCCCCAGACATGGCAGGACCCCACTGTCTGGTCAGCGCCTTGATACTGATGCCATGCTCCTAGATGATCACAAGACACCGGTTCTTATAATTGGGGGGCCATAGATGCCCCCCCCACCCCTGTCTGTCTAGCTGTTGCAGCCAAAAACGTTATTCTGCTACAATCTGACAGCTGGAGATCATCTGAGCAAAGTTTCTCTGTGTCATTGGATTTCACTCCCCCCTTCCTTTAAATGTGTCATTCTCCCCCTCCCCTGGGATTTCCCACACACCCTCTGCCAGTGCTGGAAACACCCTCCAACCAGACTTATTACCTCCTACTAGGGAGGGACCAGGCTCATCACATGGATTCCTATACTGCTTTGTTTTCAGGTGTCTGATTGTAAACACATTATTAATCCCTACTGCCCTGATTATTAAAAGTGAGTCACTCAGTGTGTGGAGTTACATGGTGATAGTCCCAGGACTGACAGCATGAGACCGCACAGCCACATAACTGCACACAGCCAGGAATTGGTCGTGTATGGCCAAGACATTGTAAGCGTGTACTCTGTATAGAGCAAGGAGGCCGAATACACAGGATGGGTAAATCTGTCCGTCGACAACATACCCCCCCCCCCCCCCAACAGTTCTGAAAAATATATCCTCCAATTATGCTACATTCACATGGCCGTAACACAGCTGTAAAATTTTTTACTGATTGTTAAGCATGAACAAAGGTGTCTGCTTATGGTCAGTAAATAGGTCCGTTTTTTTTTTAAAGGGTGTAAACGTTGTCCTGTTCTTTTTATCAATGGTATATTTTTAAAAAACGTCTTCAGATGCAGATTTTTGAATTTTGTGTTACAGATTTGAACGCAGCACACGTTAACCACTTGCTCTCTAGAGGATTTACTCCCCTTCCTGACCAGGCCATATTTTGCTATACGGCGCTGCGTTACTTTGACAAATTGCGCGGTCATGCAATGCTGTACATAAATGAGATTTACGTCCTTTTTTCCCACAGAGATTTCTTTTGGTGGTATTTGATCACTTCTGCATTTTTATTTTTTGTGCTATAAACAAAAAAAGACCGACAATTTTGAAAAAAAAAAAAAATTTTTTTACCTTTTCCTATAAAACACATCCATTAAAAAAATTAGAAAAATCTAATTTCTTCATAAATTTAGGCCAAAATGTATTCTGCTCAGGGGCGGACTGACCATTTGGAAACTCGGGCACTGCCCGAGGGCCCTGGGTCAGTAGGGGGCCCCATGAGATGCCCCTGGTACCTTTTTTATAGGCTTTTTTGAGTTTGGGCAAGGACACAGGGGCCCCTCCCATGATCCCCTATTGCCCGGGGGCCCCATGAGTTGTCAGTCTGCCCCTGATTCTGCTGCATATCTTTGCTAAACAAATCCCAATAAGTGTATATTAATTGGTTTATGTGAAAGTTATAGCGTCTACAAATGGCGGTATATATACTGGAATTTTTATTTTTTTAATACTAGCAATGGTGGCGATCAGCGACTTATAGCGGGACTGAGGTCATTCTGACCCTGGGGGGAACTGACTGTCACTGACATCCCCAGTGACACCAATACAGTGATCAGTACTAATATAAAGCACTGACACTGTACTAACACCGGGCAGGAAGGGCAGGGGTTATATTTACCACAAGGCATTTGCCTAGGGCGGCATTTTTTTTAGGGGGGAAATATGCAGCATGGGGACCAGGTGGGATCCGAGAAAAGCTGGAAGGTGTATGCAGAGCCCATCTGGTGTTCCTGGGGATGGCCAGATCTGTGAAGGTGAGTGTCTTTCTCTCTGTCACCAGGGGGGGGGGGGGTTAAGGGCAGGCTCTCTCCATTGAGGAGGGGGGGGGGCATCCAATTTTTTTGTGTTGCCTAGGGCAGCACAAAACCCAAATACACCAATGAGGAAGGGGTTAACATCTGGGGCCATCAAAAGGTTAACAATGTACTGTGTGTGTTTTACTATGTGTGCTGTTTTATTTGGGAGACGTGCTGCTATGTATCTCTCTGCTGTGCAGAGAGATACAAAGCAGCATGTCCATGCTGACAGGAGAGAGATCTGTGTTGTTTACTTCTGCTATAGAGCAGAGGGCAAGTGCTCCTGTGTCAATTTCTTCATTGAAAACAATGCAGCTGCTTTCAGATCTGTAAAAAAACAGTTTGTGTGTGTTTTTTTTTTTATCATTCGAGTAAATGAGACCTTAAAGCAGGGGTAGGCAACCTTAGAGAGATGGAGATCTACCTGAACAAGATCATCGGTGTTCGGAACTGCCTTTTTTTAAAAAAGAAATTAAAACAAAGCAAGGCTAAGTAAATAGTGAGGACAACTTAGAAAAATAAAATAAAACAAATTTCACTTAAAAAATATAAAGTTAGTCTACCTTCTGCATCCAAAACGCACAGAAAGTAGGTTATATGGTTGTCAATGTCATAGTTCACATCAGTGCTTGCAGTTCCAGTATGTTTCAGTTGCAGAAAAAAAAGTAGAACAGACTGCATTTTTTCTGTATAAAACGCAGAAAAAATGCACCAGAATGCACCAAAACACACCTGAAACGCACATGTCCCTATTTCAATTGAAAAAAGAAAGGGTGAAAAAATGAACCGGAAAGCATCAAAAACGCGCATGCAGAAATGCATCCGGAATGCATCTGGACTGCATTTCCATAGTGTGAACTGGCCCTAAAAGTAAATTGTGTCAGTCAATAGGGCAGTGGACAGTGTCAGAGGTTATTATTATTGTTATTTTTACAATTTTTTTATTATTTACAATATTATTTACCCCCCCCCCCCCCCATAGCAGTGTCCTCCACCCCCTCTTCCCCTCCCATAGCAGTGTCCCCCGCTCCCTCTTCCCTCCCATAGCAGTGTCCCCCGCTCCCTCTTCCCTCCATAGCAGTGTCCTCCGCCCCCCTCTTCCCTCCCATAGCAGTGTCCTCCTCCCCCCCTCTTCCCCCTCATAGCAGTGTCCTCCGCCCCCTCTTCCCCCTCATAGCAGTGTCCTCCACCCCTCCCTTCCCCCCATAGCAGTGTCCTCTGCTCCCCCCCCCCCCCATAGCAGTGTCCTCCACCCCCCCCTTCCCCCATAGCAGTGTCCTCTGCTCCCCCCCCCATAGCAGTGTCCTCTGCTCCCCCCCCCCCCATAGCAGTGTCCTCCACCCCCCCCTCTTCTCCCTCATAGCAGTGTCCTCTACCCCTCTTCTCCCTCGTAGCAGTGTCTTCTGCCCCCTTTCCCCCCTGGCAGTGTCCTCTGCCCCCCCCCATAACAATGTCTTTTGCCCCCCCCCCCCCCCCCCAGAAGTGTCCTCTGCCCCTTTTTTTTGTGCTGACAGCCTCCCATATGATAACAATTTCATATGGGTACAGTGTTGCATGACCGCGCAATTGTCATTCAAAGTGTGACAGCGCTGAAAGCTGAAAATTGGCCTGGACAGGAAGGGGGTAAAAGTGCCCTGTAGGCAAATGATTAAAGATTAATCGCTCACATAGGGTCTGTGATTGCCTGGCTGTCCGCTCTTATTCAGCATTATTTTGTGACTGCTACTGTAGGGCTTAATACTGCTGGAACAGGATTTTTCAGTTTTTGTGCCTTGAGTATCCTGTACCCTCAACACTCCTCCCAGCATTTGTTCAAGACCTGCAATCTTCAAAGACACCACCTAGGCTGAACCTGAATTTGTCAGTGTGCTTCTGGGACTGAACAGAGGGTGGGCTGCCTTCGGACAGGTAAGGGGGTCTGTTTATTTCCAGAAGTCCCTCTGAAAGTTATCACCACAGAATTACAGCCAAAAAAGATTTTTATACATTTGCATAGTAAAAAAAAAAGCTATCTATAATAAACGGTGCCCCATCTCTTTTTTTTTTTTTCTTTTCAACACAGCACACCACAACGCACGGAATGGTTCACATCTGTACGTACAGTGTGCTAAACTACTGGTGAGTTGTGGATGTGTGTTGAGATCAGTAAAAATTAACCCCTTCAATACCGGGCACTTTTACCCCCTTCCTGCCCAGGTCAATTTTCAGCTTTCAACGCTGTCGCACTTTGAATGACAATTGCGCAGTCATGCAACACTGTACCCAAATGAAATTTTTATCATTTTTTTTCACACAAATAGAACTTTTTTTTTGGTGGTATTTAATCACAACTTTTGAAAAAAAAAAACACACTTTTCTTCATTTCTGTTACAGAATTTTGCAAATAAATAACATTTCTTCATGAATGTAGGTCAAAATGTATTCTGCTACATTTCTTTGGTGAAAATAATAAAAATAATAATAATAATTTAATTAGTATTTTTTTTTCAAATGTTTCCATTTTTCTTTTATCACATTATTTTTTCTTTTTTTTTTACAGCACACTGTGACCAAAGCAATACGATGTTACCATAATAACATTGAACTACTCTGGGCAAGTGATCAGGATCTTTTTTTTTTTTTTTTTTAACTCATTATGATTGCTAATACTGATGTATTTCATTGATATTTGCAATCATTGTTACTGAATGAAACTCATTCAGTCTTTTGTTGTGATTAGCTGTGATTGGGCAAAGCTGGTCACGTGATAGAGACGGACTGTGATTGGCCCTGTCTGTATCATGTGACTGCTTTGACCAGGGGCAGACTGACCATTTGGAAACTTGGGCACTGTCCGAGGGCCCGGGGTCAGTAGGGGGCCCCAATGAGATGCCCCTGGTACCTTTTTCATAGGCTTTTTTGAGTTTGGGCAAGGACACAGGGGCCCCATGATCCCCTATTGCCCAGGGGCCCCATGAGTTGTCAGTCCGCCCCTGGCTTTGACCAGTCACAGCTAACAACATAATTGTATACAATGGATGGCGTGACAAGAAGCCATCCATTGTATACAATCGATGTGTGATCTGCTGTGATTGGTCACAGCAGTCACATGACACTGACAAGGGGCCGGTGTAGTGATCTGTCATCGGCTGTGTCCCGTGGACACAGCCGGAGACAGATCGCACTAATGCGCGGCCGGCTCGTTTTGACAGGACATCATATGAGTGCCCTGCCTGGCCGTCAATCTGCAATAGGACGGGCGGGAAGGTGTTAATAGCACTGCACCACCATTCATGCATTATCCTGCAGTGTGGCAATGCGCTTCTTGCAGAGCATGCAAGCAGGGGTTAGTACTTCTTTTAGTGAGGTCCCTCCCTTTTGGCAGGTATGGTGTTTGGAGTTAGCCAGGAAAAGCCTGGGGCAGAGGGTGATGGGTAAGGGGTACATCTGGTATTCCAAGATACAAGCCTATAGTCTGAGGAAGTGGACCCTTAGGGGTAGGCCCACAAAAAGTAGACTGAAGATGTGCCCATACCTTTATTTCCGAAGGTGGGCCTCAAGTTAAGGGAGCGTGAGAAATCTAAGATGATGGAGTCTCTCCAAATTACAGATGTGTGCATACCCTATCTGGTTCCTGGGCATGAAGAAGATGGGAGGTGTGCTTGGCCAACTTGGAAGGAGCTGGCGACCGATTCGAGAAGTTCTAACAAGTGTAATAACCAGATGTGAATCCGATCTAAAACAATAATTTTACTGTATTTAAATGCATATTAGGCAGAATTCCAATCTATCCTTTGTTGCTGGTTTACATCTTAGTGCTGCAGTTTAGTGTGTTTTGAAAGCTATAAGGGCCCATTCACACCTATGCATTTTAGTGGTGTTAACGTACAGTTGGGCTCAAAAGTTTGCACACCCTGGCAGAAAGCGTGAAATTTTGGCATTTATATTGAAAATATCACTAGCCATGCCAAAAAACTGTATCATATGAAACCTTTTATTATCACATTGTTGTTTGGCTCATTTTAATCATAATGATAACAGAAATGAAGTCATGACAGAGGACAAGGGGGCACTCTTTACGTCTGGAGGAAAAGAAATTTAACCTCTAGATACGGAAATATTTCTTCACAGTGAGAGCTGTGAAAATGTGGAATAGACTCCCTCAAGAGTTGCTTCTGGCCAGCTCAGTGGATTGCTTTAAAAAAGGCCTGGATTCTTTCTTAGATACACAGAATATAACTGGATACTAACATTTGTAGGTAAAGTTGATCCAGGGAATATCCGATTACCTCTCAGGGGATCAGGAAGGAATTTTTTCCCCTGCAGGAGCAAATTGGATCATGCTTTGCTGTTTTTTTTTTGTCTTCCTTTGGATTAACTGTGGGTATAGGATTATACCTTTTTTTTTTTTTTAATGGTTGAACTGGATGGACTTTTGTCTTTTTTCAGCCAGACCAGGGGTGGACTGACAACTCATGGGGCCCCCGGGCAATAGGGGATCATGGGGCCCCTGTGTCCTTGCCCAAACTCAAAAAAGCCTATGAAAAAGGTACCAGGGGCATCTCATGAGGTCCCCTACTGACCCCGGGCCCTCGGGCAGTGCCCGAGTTTCCAAATGGTCAGTCTGCCCCTGAGCCAGACTATGTAACTGTGTAACTAAATCACCCAAATGACCATAATCAAAAGTTTACATACCATGGAATGTTTGGCCTTGATACAGACACACAAGGTGACACACAAAATAAAATGGCAATTAAAGGTTAATTTCCCACATCTGTGGCTATTTAAATTGCAATTAGTGTCTGTGTATAAATAGTTAATGAGTTTGTTAGCTCTCACATGGATGCACTGAGCAGGCTAGATACAGATTCTGAGCCATGGGCAGCAGAAAAGAACTGTCAAAAGACCATTTGAAGCATGGTGTCATAGCAGTAGCTGTCAGAGCAGACATGAAGCTTCAACCCACTGGTTGCCAGCCATTGATCTGGAGTGTTTGGTGAGGGCTGACTGCCCCTCTTGCCCAACCCTTGTCCCTGCCCTGGACAAAAGACCTCCTAAGCTCATTGTGACTGCATTCTGTCCACCCAAAATTGAATTATCAGTTTTGGAAAGATGCCATTAGGCTAAATGGTAAATATGATTTTATTAACCAGCAATCTTTATGTTTCTTGGTGAGACCTCAGCTGATCTCTGACCTGTACTCCCTACTTACCTGTGGTGGCCATTTTGGCCCTGCCACTGAACGTAAATATAATAGTGTTCACACATAGGCTCCAGAATATTGATTTTTTTTTTTTTTTCATGGAGAAAGCTGTTTTCTCAACTTTCAACAGTGTTGGGTATTCCCAGATTGTGTTTTGGAGTTTGGAGATTTGGAAAAGTTTTGGGAGGGAAGAAACCTTCAACCCAGTGTCCAGGTCATGCAGGAGACCCAAAGGCTGTGAGTGCAGGTGCGTACAGCCCTTACAATGAAGGACCTGGCCAAAGTGCAGGGCTCCCATTATGAGAGCGGTGTGCTCCACTCAAGAGACAGCATTGAAGGAGTCCTTGTCCATGGGGCTGTGAGAGTCAAGTTAGCTAAGTGAATCTGGGAGGCTGAGAGAGTTGAGACAACTAGAGTCCAGGGGATTGAGGGAATAAGTCTCAGATGAACGAGAGCCCCGGGTATCATGAGAACCCCTACTGAAAGGTCAGGAAGTGGGCATGTGCAGCAGGGTGCTGCAACAGAAAAGGCTGAGAGAGTCAGGAGAGCTGGGAAAGCTGAGAGAGCCAGGAGACCTGGGAAAGCCGAATTAATACAGAGGTACTGTGTGAGATGGTCTGCGGGAACAGCTAATAGCCAAGCCCTAACCAGTGGTGCTAAGGAGCATATAGCCAGGTTGGTCAGCATTAATGGAAAAGAGCAAAAAAGGGTGCACTCTCCTTGTGCGTTACCATGATAAAAAAATTATTTATTGAGAATGACAAAAGTGTATACTCACAAAGAGTCTTAAATAAAAGCAAGGAACCAATGTGGCAGTCCCAGCAAAAGGTGGTCTTGTGACAGGGTGTGTTATCGCGTTTCAGAGCTGAGGAAGGGAGCTTGTCTCCCGTAATGCGTTCGTACACTCTGTCACAAGACTGCCACTTGCTGGGACTGCTTTTATTTATGACTCTTGGTTTGTGAGTATACACTTTTGTCATTCTCAATAAATTCTTTTTTATCACGGTAATGCATGAGGAGAGTGTGCCCTTTTTTGGTCTTTTCCAGTACCATCAAGATTCCCAGATCTTTAGAGGGCTGCACCTCAGCGAGTGACCGTTATTATGTCCCTGGGACGTTTATGGACCTGAGCGCTGGTTTTGCTTTTCCTTCTTGGTCAGTATTAATGTTTGTTTTGTGTTTTTGATAGTGGAAAACCCCTACGTGGACAACTATTTTTCTTGTTGAACTTTGAGTTGGTTTAATATAAGTGGACACTCAAGCTCTAAATCACAGTTCTGTCTGATAAGGACTCACTAAAACTTCTACCACTGAGATAATTATCCTAAATATCACACCATTCAGACATATATATGTTGAAAAAACAGGTTTTCTTTAGTACTGAAAAGAATTTAAAGGGATTCAGTCAAAAACAAAATTCCTGTGTGAGAAGGGTCGGATGAAAGCAGCAGTTCTCTGACATGACTTATTAGGTTCACAAAAGATGTCACAAAAAGGCAGTGTCCATATGGGACTTCTCACCCAGATATATAAAGTTTGCGACAAATTGCCTTTAACATAAATGATTAATAATTCACTTTTGTGCCATTTCAGCAGAAAATACATAGAAGAGGAACCAGCTCTAAAGCTTCATACAGAATATTTTTCCCATGTCAGACACAGCTGCTAGTTAAAGGGGAAGTAGGAATACAAACGAGGTAAAATCTAAATATTTTTCAGCAGTGTACTTAATACAAGTGCTCAGTGACAGCACTAAGCCGCCAACGTATTCTAAACACCATTAAAAGAGCATATGTTATATGAAAACAGAATATATTATTTGTGACCCTAGGAATGATTAACAGAAACCGTTATAAAAAGCTACCCCCTATGTAAGCACATTGGGGAATTTATCAAAACTAGAGCAGACAGAATCTGGAGCAGCTGTGCATGGCAACCAAACAGCTTCTATCTTTCAATTTCACAACTTAGCAGAACAAGTTGAAGATAGAAACTGATTGGTTGCCATGCACAGCTGCTCCAGATTCTGTCTGCTCCAGTGTTGATAAATTCCTCCATTACATTTTGGTACTCAAGACAACACTAATACACTGCAACATAAAAGTGAATTTATCACACCAATGGTGAAAACAAAATCCCTAATAGTGAAATACTGATACAGGACCAGTATCTAATGATATTTATTTATTTCAGGTACTTATATAGCGCAATCAATTTACACAGCACTTTACATATATATTGTACATTCACATCAGTCCCTAACCCTCAAGGGGCATACAATCTAAGGTCCCTAACTTACATTCATATATACACATACTAGGGCCAACTTAGACAGGATCCAATTAACCTACCAGCATGTCTTTGAAGTGTTGGAGGAAACCAGAGTACCCTAGAGAAAACCCACGCAGGCACAGGGGAGAATATGCAAACTCCAGGTTGATGGTACCGTGGTTGTGATTCGAACCAACGACCCTAGGCCCAGAAGTGCTAACCATTTAGCCACTGTGCTGCCCATAATATAGATTATTCCTTAAAGCAGAACTAAATGTAAAGCAGATTTTTTTTTTTCTAATTAAATGGGCCCGAGGAGGTTTATGCCATAAAATGCTAGTACGCACCACATATTAGCATACTATGGCAGACCTACCTGGCAGCCGTCGAGCAATGCGCTGTCTTTTTCCAATGGGATGAAGCACCTTTCTTTACTTCCTATTCATATGGCCATCTTGCAACATACTATTATGTACAATCTATCATAAAAGGGAAGGTGTTTGGGGTTGCTGTTAGATTTCACATAGCAATGTATTTGTCATAGGGATGTTCTCACATATTTTATAATGACTATACAATAAGCGTATGTGATTTTATAAACAATGTGTACTTTCCTTCTTGAGGGTGGTTGTATTGGCACCTTAATAGTCCCATTTACTCCTTTTCTTTTTTCCTGTAAAGTCTTTTTGGGGACGTGGTGTAAAGTATTCAAATGTACCCATTACTTATTTCCTTTTAAAATATTTAATAATGTCTACGTATTAGAAAATCTTATGTGTCTTCTGTCCTAAAAATGCCTTTCAATCCTGAGCAACACTGACGTTAGACTTGCCAAAAAATGAATAGGAAGGTATTTTGGGCATTGCAACAGTTGATCCATTGCACTTCAACATCCTCTCTCCAACTATGGTATACACTACACTGTAATGTAACTACTTTCATTCATCCACACAGATCATCAAACCTGAACACTCATAGTGTGCTAAATTTTCTAAGTTAAAAACAATAGAAGGAAAATTATCATTTGCACACGTGGTGATTTAAAGGAGCTTTCAACAGAGGTCTGAGATTGTGCTTTTTTTTAAAAGCACCTACAAATATAGTTTTTAGGGTGATAAAATCCCTATCAGTTAATGATGTTTTGTTTTTTTCTATTCTCCCAGATAATAAGAGATATAAAAACCTGGTTGATCACTATAGGTGAAAAATCCATATTTGTTCCCTTTTTCTCTTCTTTATTATTTTAAAAACATTATTATATTTGGTACATTTATCCAACTCTTTTTTGTAAACTTTTTTTGACTCTAATTAGACATACTAGACACCTGCAGCATGTTGGGTTTCAATAAATTTGTATTTAATTTTAGGTAATAGATAACCACCATCCGCAGTATGTTTTACCTCCAAGCACAACTGTCCAATTTGGCACAGCACTTCACTAAATCTCACTGTTGGTGATATACCGGTAATTTTTGGGTACGTTAGCTAGATCAAAGGAAAAAATGTAATTCCATAACACTGATTCATATTTTTTTTTTAATCAAATGTGGAATGGAGGATCCATTTTGATTAAGGTCGGGTAGCACTGTAATTGCTATGAGGTATACAAAAATCTGATCCCAGGCTTCATCAAAAACACTCGCCCTTCCTTGGAAACGTAGGTGTACAACGTTCGCTGAACAATGGGTAGGCTATGGATACTCTGCATGTTGAAGGAGCTTACGTACATGCTTTAGTAATCATAAGCTTAACAACAGGCAGCATTTTGTGCACTCATACTACTATATACCCACATCTTGGACCATGGAGGAAACTTCTGGCAATGGAATCCATGTCCCTGTATGGCTATATGGCAGTAGTTTTGTGACTGAATCTTAAACCAATGAAACTCCCATTTTCTGCACTGCAATATCTTCACCTCAGTACCCCTTATAAAAAAAGCTGAATATTCCTGACAGCATCTAGTGTCTGTTTTTCCATCACACTGTAAACACTTCAAAGCCAAATGCTAAACATCCCAACCACAAGAGAAGATCAAGCTGGTTCATGACTTATACATCCAGATAAGGTAACTATCCTCTCCATACAAGGCTACTATACCTCACAACCTCAAACAACCTCAGGCAGGCCAGTAATGTCAAGCATTTCCATAAAGAGACTGTTCTTCCCTCAGTGTATTAAGAACTTTTCTCAGAACCACAACACCTGCATAGTAGGAGACTTCAGAAGCCACCATGCAATTACATTGGTTAGTATTCATGTAAACAATTGATGGCTAGTTGTGGTTAGTCACATTTAGTGAGCTGTACTTGTTCTGTAATCTTGAAGACATTTCAGCTCTCATTCAAGTGGTTTCTTCCATTTTAATGACTATTAGGAACATTCCCAAGCTTTTATAGCCACATGATGTCATGAGCTGTGAGATGCTAACTGCAGGGGCGGACTGACAACTCATGGGGCCACCGGGCAATAGGAGATCATGGGGCCCCTGTGTCCTTGTCCAAACTCAAAAAGCCTATGAAAAAGGTACCAGGGGCATCTCATGGGGCCCCCTACTGACCCCGAGCTTTCGGGCAGTGCCCGAGTTTCCAAATGGTCAGTCTGCCCTTGGCTAACTGTACTTCATGGCAGGTGTGAAAGTTTATATGAACAGCCTGTTCGCATTTAAATATTCCAATCACAATGGTGCCATTGTGTCTTTGCTGGCATAGCATCACTTCCTGATGTATTACCAGGATGTAAGAAATACATTTTATTCTATAGCAATCATTTATATTTTTTTGATCAACATTTGAATGTGAACCCTCTTCCATTAAGGTCAGGTAACACCTTAATCACTATCAAGTACATAAATCTGATACCAAACTTTATCAAAACACTTCTTCTTTGATAAGGTTGACATACTGTACATCTTAAGGCTGTTACACATGGGAAGCTTTGTTTCATTCAACCCAGTGGGCTGAACGAAAAAAACCCTTACAAATCATTGTACTAACACATTTGATGTGAGTGTGGCAATCTCCCTGCTGAGCTATTGTGTTCTGCCAAGGGAACCGCCCTCCCCGCAAGAACACAGTGATCAGTGCTCACAGCCATTGGCTGTGAGCGTTGATCAGATGCTGGTTTTCCAGCACGTCTGTTCGATAAAAGTTGGTCATTAGACCGGCTTCTGTCAAACAGGCTGCTGTACACATGGCCTGAATGTAGCTGCTGACTTTGATTTTTTTTTTGTTTGTGCTGAAGACTACGCTTGACTGACTGGATCAGTCACTAGTCGTAGATGGGTGGTTGCGAGGGTGGGTAGGGAGATGTCCCTCTAGTCAATTATACCCATTGGCAGTAAACCCTCTTAGGGTTTGGGCTGCTACCGTTCTGCTACGGCCTTCAGGTAGTTTCCATACGTATACTTGTAATAATAGAAAAGAAGGTGCTCCCGATGACCAAAAGAATGCACTTTTGATGGTAGATTAAGAGGCATTTATTGAGAGTAATGACAAGCACATCAAGCCAACGTGTTTCAGGAGAAAACACTCCCTTCTTTAGGGCTATTGCTGCATGCTATTAAATGGGAAAAATCCCCATGCCAGTTAAGTATTAAGGTTTCTTTTCTCATCAACAGTTAGAGCAATCTTGTGCCTTCTATCAGTGTCCAGCAGAGCATTAATTTTTTTTTTGGGGGGGGGGGGGAACTGCTACCACTGGTTATACCATAACCTGGATAAATGAGACTTCTCACATTCTCACATATGAAACTTTCAGATGTCTCCTCACTGGAGGGCTGGTTACTATTGTTCCAGCAAGTAACAGAAATATAGTGGCCTGCGATCCAACAAATAACACTTTCTACAAAGGCTTTTATAGAAAGGCAGATTTATTGAACAGCAGGATACTCATAGTTTTGTTTTTGGTCAGAGAGATTGTTTTAAGTGGCATAAACTAGGAATAGTGTGCATGATGAAGGCTCTCCATTTAACAGAACTTAAAGTGATGTATATTGTTCTTCTTGCTATCCCATCTAATGGTACCTGTGAATAGAGAATTCCAGAATTCACCTCCTCCAATCACAGAGCATTTTCCATTCTGGAGAAAAATAGTACAAGTTTTGTGAATGGGTGATAAAGAATGAAGGGGAGCGTGAGAGGCCCCTATGCCTAACAGTCAAAACCACTGATCTTAATCCCCACATTGGTGGAAGATCACCTCTGTAGGGACTATCGAGTCAGTGGAGAGAAGATTTCTATAGAAAGCAGCAGTCAGCAGGACGTGAGATATCCCTAGTGCTGTATCCACAACAATATTTCTATCTATATTCACAAATTACTAGTGCAGCACAACTCTCTAAATTAATAATTGTTAGAAAACATAAATACTCCTGTGAAAAACATATACAAGTGATAAACTAAAGAGTCCATAAACAATCCCCTCAGTGACATGTATCACTTCCGTGAATATCTTCTTCTTTAGTAATATTCATTGATCCTCCACCACACAAGGTGAAAAACCTGCTCACCTCAAGAAAAGAAAATATGCACTCATCTGGGTGTACTCAACTCCTCAGTTGCAGTGACATATCTTCATATCTCCTCTCGCCTTCCACTCACTCTGACATCAGGCCAAAATTGATCTCATGCAAGAGAAAGACCGAAACATAGTGCTCTCTGTATAACACTTTATTGCATCCCCCCACTAAAATAATACTTACAGATATAAAAGCATAAAATGCATATCCACATCCAGCTCACCGCTCTGCTAGCAAGATAGTAGTGGCGTGGTAACACGGTACCAGCTCCTCCTTTCTAGACGTGTTGCGCCCCCCTCAGGGCTTCATCAGTAGGTCTTAGGTCACAGTTAGTAATATTTCTAACTAAACTCAACTGAAGGCTCCTGTATGACAGTCTATTCGAGTCCCAATTAATTGTCATTTGGGACACAGCTGCACAGACACAGCTGCTGCTCCCAATTTGACAACGGGGGGGGGGGGGGGGGGGGGGGTACAGTGACGAACACGTAAGTGTTTGTTCAGGGTCATGCACCCGCACGGATATCAAACTGTGAGCAGCGACTGTGTTGGTGCAGCTACTGCATCACGGCTGACATGAATGGGACTGCCTGCACACCTCCCTGTGTGGGTAAACATGGTCCTCGCACCCTATATGAACATCTAAGTCACCATTACTGCAGGCTTTACGCTTGTCATGATCGCTCTGATGGTTTAGCAACACATTTTGCACAAGCAGTCTATTCTCCCATTATGTCCTGTATGTGGCATTACTGTGAAGTGGATGACATGAGCATACAATATACCTTGGAATTATTGACAGACAGTTCATTCAGGGAGGGAAGTAGGGACAGGAAATTCTTCTATATAGCTGAGAAAATCCAAACAGATGGGATTTATATGAAGATGTGAAAAGATGAATAAGAAGTGCATGTGCTGAAGCATGATAAACAAGACTGAACAAGCAAAGGGGTATGAAGAATCGCAGAACCTTGCTGAGAATGTGACTGTAGTTACAAGTAGCCCAGTATGCTGCCAGGGCTGTAAAGGAGCCAGTAATAAACAATGCAGGCCAACACTGGTATAATGCTGGTCACGAGATTTCAAGGTTTTTAGGCTGCTGTGTAATGCCATCTGATCTATATTAAACATGTCATCTTATAGTCATTTAAAATTGTGGCCTGGAGCACCAATTTTAGTAATGTGCCTTCATCTCTAAATAAATACAGTATCTCACAGAAGTGAGTACACCCCTCACATTTTTGTAAATATTTTATTATATCTTTTCATGTGACAACTCTGAAGAAATGACCCTTTGCTACAATGTAAAGTAGTGAGTGTACAGCTTGTGTAACAGTGTAAATTTTCTGTCCCCTCAAAATGACTCAACACACAGCCATTAATGTCTAAACTGCTGGCAACAAAAGTGAGTACACCCCTAAGTGAAAATGTCCAAATTGGGCCCAAAGTGTCAATATTTTGTGTGGCCATCATTATTTTCCAGCACTTTCTTAACCCTCTTGGGCATGGAGTTCACCAGAGCTTCACAAGTTACCATTGGAGTCCTCTTCCACTCCTCCATGACGACATCACGGAGCTGCTGGATGTTAGAGATCTTGCGCTCCTCCACCTTCCTTTTGAGGATGCCCCACAGATGCTCAATAGGGTTTAGGTCTCCCTCAATGAACTGTAGGTCCCCAGTGCTGACAGCACTCATGCAGCCCCAGACCATGATACTGCCACCACCATGCTTGACTGTAGGCAAGACACACTTGTCTTTGTACTCCTCACCTGGTTGCCGCCACACACGCTTGACACCATCTGAACCAAATAAGTTTATCTTTGTCTCATCAGAACACAGGACATGGTTCCAGTAATCCATGTCCTTAGTCTGCTTGTCTTTAGCAAACTGTTTGTGGGCTTTCTTGTACATCATCTTTAGAAGAGGCTTTTTTCTGGGACAACAGCCATGCAGACCAATTTGATGCAGTGTGCGGCTTATGGTCTGAGCAGTGACAAGCTGATCCCCCACCCCTTCAACCTCTGCAGCACTCATACGTCTATTTTCAAAGACAACCTCTGGATATGACGCTAAGCACGTGCACTCAACTTTGGTTGACCATGGCGAGGTCTGTTCTAAGTGGAACCTGTCCTGTTAAACCACTGTATGGTCTTGGTCACCATGCTGCAGCTCAGTTTTAGGGTCTGGCAATCTTCTTATAGCCTAGGCCATCTTTATGCAACAATTCTTTTTTTCAGATCGTCAGAGACTTCTTTGCCATGAGGTGCCATGTTGAACTTCCAGTGATCAGTATGAGAGAGTGAGAGTGATAACACCAAATTTAACACACCTTCTCCCCATTCACACCTGAGACCTTGTAACACTAACGAGTCACATGACAGCAGGGAGGGAAAATAGCTAATTGGGCCCAATGGACATTTGCACTTAGGGGTGTACTCACTTTTGTTGCCAGCGGTTTAGACATTAATGGCTGTGTGTTGAGTTATTTTGAGGGAACAGCAAATTTACACTGTTATACAAGCTGTACACTCACTACTTTACATTGTAGCAAAGTGTAATTTCTTCAGTGTTGTCACATGAAAAGATATAAAATATTTACAAAAATGTGAGGGGTGTACTCACTTCTGTGAGAAACTGTATCTACACAAAATATATTAGCCCTGGGACTTTAAATGAAGCACATCACATACAGATAACTGTATAGTCAATACACATGATTGCATATTTATTAATCCATATATACATAACACATCACAATAAAATCCAGTAACAAATATTATTCAGCTGATTTATAATATATGTAATATAAGCACATAAAACTATCACACAATATAAATTCATTCATAATTGTAAAATGTTTATTCATGATTGTATATTAAAGCTCCAGCACTGCTACGTTCGTTTTAGACCTGATTTTTAAGTAATAGGGCTATCCGTTGGATATGGGGAGCCCTTCTGTTTAACCATGTAATATTACTTCATTGTTATTAATTCATCCTTTGCAGATACGCATCCTACATCTACTCCTGAAGAAGTGGACGGTGGTCCAGGAAACACATGGAGTTTGTGGATGCAATTTATTATATAATTAT